ACTTGAGCTTAGCTGATACACACATAAAGGAGAACTATGAAGCAATTAGAAGCGACAGATTAGATGTACACACGGCGCCACAAATATATATTAAATACAGAGTACAGAGTGAAAAATCAAGAAACTGATGTGTGGGAATAAAGGAACAGGAAGGAAACAGGGAGGAAAGAAGGGAGGAAGGGAGGAAGGGAAGGAGGGAGGAAGGAGGTGAAGAAGGACGTGAGGAAGGAAAGAAAGAAGGAAGGGGCAAGGGGAGGAGGAAGACAGAGAGATGAAAACCGAGCTCCCCATGACACATTTCAGGGCACCCGATGCTCAGGTGTAAAATCCATCACTCGGGTTTCCTGCTTCCCAGAGCAGCTCAGCATCGTGAGGAAATTATGCCATTGCAGCTCTCGTTAACCTGAGAAGTTAGCTGGTTGGTAAAGCAGTTTGGAAAATGATGCAGCGTGCATGGCGGGGGATGTGTTTGTGTCTCTAGCACCCCTGTCATCACCCGGCTGAGAGGTTCCGAAAGCCGCTGCTCCACAGAACCTTCCACCCAGGACGGCCAGGAGCTGGCCAGGCAGCCTTTGCAGGGCCAGGGAGGTTCTGAGCTGGAGGGAATGGAGTGTTGAGTGAGATCTGCAGAGAGGCCGTGGGATGGCGAGGGAGATGCAGGGAACGGGGTAATGGTGTGGGTCGAGGGAGGCGGAGCAGGGCAGAGGAGATGGTGAGGAGGAAGGTGGGGTGAGTGGGGGTGACGGGATGGAAATGCTGGGGAGCCAGTGTACAGCGGAAAGGGCGGGGCGCAGCACAGTAGCCCTGGTGACAATCATAGAAATCACACGGGAAATTATATTAGAAGTGATAAATCTATTTTACATCATTTTCACGATACCATGGGTAGGTGCTATTATTATCATCCCTGTTTTAGAAATAGAGACACCGAGGCACAGAAAGATTAAGCAACTTGCCAGGTTCAGTCCAGGCCTCAAAGCCCAGGCGTCTTGAGGCACAGCCCACCCTCACCTTCCCTACCACACTGCCACTCAGACAGAAGGGGTGCTGGGGCCTGGAGCCTGGAGCCTGAGCGACTGCCCCGGAGCCGCACCCCAGGCACAGCACAGTTTGGACTTGAAAGCAGGTCCTCCAGGCTTCCAAGGCTGTGCTGTCATGAGCTGTAGGACAGCACTCCCGCCACCATGCCCTGGGTTTGCCCACAGAGCTCTAGAGAGGCCAGCAATCATAGTAAGGAGGTCTGTGGCCTGCGCTTGGCCAGGCCACCGGTGGCCAGGACTCACCATGAAGTAATAGAGCTGCGAGGACCGGGCCATGAACTCGGGCCGACACACGGCCACACAGATTTCCACGAAGCCGGCGTGCTGGCTGGGCTTGGCCTCCCCCATCTCACACACAATCCTGCAGCGGGGAGAGGACAGACCCCATGGGTCACAGGACGGTCATGGGACTCCCAGCTGCTCCCCTGGGCCCCCTACCTACACAGGCCCCTTCTCTGCAGTAGTATATATCCTCGCAGACCTTTTTCTAGACCTGTGCAAATATATACCATATATAAAAATATAATATATAAATAAAGGCAACTTGCCCAAATATATATATATATATATATTTGCACACACACTTACATACACACATGTATGTATATATCTGTGTTTGCTATTACACACACACATAAATATAAATATCACATATATACACACACATACAATTATATATATATATAAAGAAACCTATACATGATTTTTAAAATAAAAGTAACATAACTACCCATTGTTCTGAACTCTTCTTTTTTCACCCAGCAACACAGCGTGGACTTTCCCTCATGTCCTTATATACACGACTCTGCTTTATTCTTTTTCACGGCTTCCTAGTATTTCACACTGTGACGGCATCAATATTTATTCAACTCCCCTTCTGTTCATGTACCTTTAACTTACCCCAATTTTTCTCCAACTCCAAATAATACTGCAGAACGAACCAACTTATACATTAAGCATCACGTTAGAACAGATTTCTGAGGCGGGAACTTGCTGGGCCACTGTTTGTGCATTTAATGTCTGATAGGTAGAACCAAATAGTGGCCCAGAAGGGTTTTACCAGTTTTCACCTCCATCAGAGGCAATCGAATGAGATTACTTCAGACTTTTGCCATATTGGGTATTATCAATCCTTTGAAAGTTTTTCCAATAGGAAAAAAAGATCTTATTTCAATTTTGATTTCCCTGATTACTTGTGAGAGTGCACATATTTGTGTGTGTGTGTGTGTGTGTGTGTGTGTGTGTTTAAAAATTTTATATAGCCTTTCCTTTGACTTGTCTGAAGCCCTCTGTTTTGCTAACGGATTGTCTTTTTGTAGGAGCCGCTAAATTAGGAATATTAACTTTGGTCTGAAATAAATATTGCATTAGTTTCTCCCAGTTGCTCACTTGTGTTTCAACCTTGTTTTAATGCCTTTGGCCATCGTTTTGCCAATCAATGTGGTTCAGTTGCTCATTCCTTTACTTCATGGCTTCTGGGTTCTTTCTCTTAGAAAGAACTGCTGGGTGAGAATCCAACAAAAATATATGCCTTTCTGTCCAGATGACATAATTAATACATGTTCAGTGTAAAAAAAAAAAAAAAAGAAAGTACATAACAACACCTGCCATGCATACCCCCTTCCCACAATTGTATCACCCGGAAATATCCATTGTCAATATTTTTGTGTACATGTTTCCATCTGACTTTTCTCTCAATAAATTAATTAGAAATTTTGTATTCTGCTTGGTAGCCTGTATTCTCATTTAGTATACCTTAAGTATATTCCTGCTCATGATTCATCTATAATATCAGATTCAATGGCTGTGTAGTTTACGGTCCTGTGCAGAAAAAATAATTTATTGAATTGATTACTCCTCTATTTTCAAACATACAAATTGCCTCTAAATTTTTACTATTATAAATAAGGCCAAAATGAGCATTCTTGCCTATATATAATATATATATATATATATTTGTGCATTCTGGTTATTTAGGGAAAGTTTTAGAAGTGTTACGGCTAGGCTGAACACTTTTGACCCACATTTCCAAACTGCCTTCCAGAAAGTTCATCCCAGTTTGAATGTATGAATGTGCTATTTTTCATGCTGCTCATCTGCACTGGGCATTGACTTTTAAAAATTGTTTTAATTTGCCTTTCATTGATTATTATTGATGGTAAACATTTTTATATGACCTTCGGTTCTTTGCATATCTTATGAATTATACATTCATGCTCTTTGCTCATTTTGTGATATTTGTCTTTTATTTATAAAGCCTCTTTATATGTTAAAAAATGCATTTCTTAACTGTAATAGGGTATAACCATATACCCAGCTTATCTTTCCTAATTTTATTCTGCTTACAATGATTTTTGATGCACAAGTTTTACGTCTTATTGTCCAGATCTTGTAATCTTTTCCTTTATAATTTTTTCTCTTGCGGTTATACTTAGAACACCTTCCTTTTCTTGAAATCAGATAAGTCCTCACCTGCATTTTCTTCTAATCCTTTCTCAGTTTCATTTTTTACACCTAACTTTTTAATCTATCTGGAATTTATTTTGGTTTATAATGTGAAATAAGGACCTGATATTGTGTTTTTTACAGGGAGTTAATCAGTACCAGTTAATGGAATGATTTTTCCTTGTTGATTTGAAGTGTCACTTTTTTACATACTAAATCTTTATATATCAGGATTCTTTTTCTGGGTGTTATATCTTATTCCACTGACCACAGTCGGATCATGATATTTTAATCACATGGCTTCATAATAATATATATTTTTTAATCTGACTATTCAGGTCTCGAATAAGGCATTTCAAAGTTCCCCAATTCCCAGTGTAACTGTAGCAGCCTGCTTTGTTTTGTTCTAGGAAGGACTCAGAAAGTTGAAGGAGACACAGAAAGATCTTTGGGTAAATAAGTGATGATGGACCAGGTTCATGAGTCCTACCAAGACTGGAACCTTTAAACACCTGATCTACCTTGAGCATCTCAGGAAGCCCAAATGGAAACCAGGAGGGAGTGAAGATAGCAGTGCGGATGGTTCCAGAATCATTAAATCCGGGCAGAACGCAGCAAGCAGAAATGTAAACCACCCTGACCTACCTAAAGGTGGCCTTTCAAAGAGCCGATAACTTATGCGCACAGGATAAGCGGCAAGGTTTCACTCCAGGAGGGACAGCAGAGATGGTATAGAATATAGATTCTATCGTGCCGGGAAACATTTCATGGTTGTGTTTGGTGGGCTGGAAAATTGTGTTTACTTATTTACAAGGCAATACGTGACTCACAGACCTCCTCCACTAGGTAGGTTAGAGGTCAAGGTCACTCATTGAATGACCCTCTCAGTGGACCAGCAGATTTTGCCGAGAAAAACAATGTAAGTGAGTGTAGAGTTTCATTTTTAGCTTCCGTAGCTCAGGGTCAGCTGCTTTTATAATTGGGGGAGGACGTGTGTGGGGAGTTAGGGACAGCAGAGGGAGTTGGGGTAAAGAATTGAACTCACACTTCTCTTACAGATTTTAATTTTCGTTTGTCTCACTCCTACTCACCCCCACAGCCCAAGGAGGTAACAGTCACTTTTCTCTCCTCTTCCAGACTTTTCCCCTTTGAATACTTGCCCCAATATGGCAGCCGGCTAGTTCAGGCACTGGGGAGTTATGGGAGTCCCCTCAATGCCCTAGAATATTAGCAGCAGTCTCCCTTTAACCCCCAAGAGTTTTAAGATCATCTGTTGTTGGCCAGGGAAGGCAAGTCAACGACTTGTTGGCTATCGTCCCGCCCCTCCCACACCTCTCTGTCTAGGGCACTGTCACTTACTGTTCTGCAGGGATGTAGCCATCCACCAGAGGGCTGCACTCCACGCCGGCCACTTTGACATGGGAGGCGATATCCCGGAACTCCAGGCCGAGGTTCTCTCCTCGGATGGTGACCTTGGTGCCCCCTTCCCGGGGGCCTGTCACTGGGATTATCTGGAGGGAGGAAGCATGGTAATTTGGCAGGCACCAAGAGAGAGCCGTCACCCACTTGCCGATGAGGCAAGGAAAGGCTGTAGGCTCGTCCTATCTGCACCCGATTCTATGAGTTGGGTCCAAGTCCACCTGGACACCTAGGACAGGGCTGGGACTGTCAATGGGCAGAAGAGAGAAGGGAACGTGATCCACCATGTTGCTGGGTAATTCATAGAAAATTGGGCATTTGCTTGTGTTGGTTCCACTCTCAGAAAAATGAACAAGCTCCCCATGAACCCATGGCACTCCATACTATGGGAACCTACCCATCTTTTAAGGTCCTTCGCAAATGTCACTTCCCATTACCAGATATTAATTCGTTCATATTCTCTCTCTCTTCCTCTCTCTCTCTCGCCCCACTCCCTCACTCTCTTTTGCCCCCTCCCCTGCCAGGCACCTTCTCTGAGCTCCTTTCATGGTGACATTTGTGTGTGATTCCCATCCTCCCATCCCCCACCCGCTTCCTCTTCAGATCCGGAATCTCTCAGAGCAGCGACAGGGTCTCACTTTTCCTTGCAGACTTTTCAGTGACAGAGCCATATTTGTTTCCTGAGTTGTAATTGTACTGCACACCCCAATTATCCAAGCATCTTTCTGGCGTGAGCAGAGCCTTTGTCACAAACCCTGTACCTTCATTGTTTAGCTTGGTTTCTAAGGAAGATGGGTTTAACTTAGACTTTATGCTCATGCACTGGCCACAATGGCTGGCTTTCATTCCAAAGATGTTGCCATTGGTGTTAAAACCCACGACTAGAATATTGAGATCCAACCACCAAAGGGCCTGCTCTGCAGGAGGGGCTCTGTCCAGGTCACATGATCTAATTGTGACATCCCACAGTAGCGACCTCGGTGGCAGAAAAATGCTGTGCCAGCCTCTCCTGGCATCTGATAGATAGATTTCCCATTCCTGGGGCCTCTGAACACCAGTACTTGGATCTTGGCCAATGTCACAATTGAAGGAGCCCAGATAGGCCACCTCTTAAGTTCCCTACTCTCTCTACCCCCTAAAGGTCACAACTGGGGCTTCCGTCCTGGGTCGACAGTGAAAAATGAGGGAAAGGAATGAAACTAGGCTGGGGCGCCCCCCACCCCCAAGTGGCAGCTTTGCCAGGGGGAGGCTGTTCACCTACAAAAATCAAGATACTTCCTGCTTCTTACACATGCAGGTGTGCACGTTTGTAAGCGTGCACCTGAGTGTAAGAGTTTGCATGAGCATGTTCCCATTACACTGAAAACCCAGGTTCTTTGGAGACACAGACTCGTTTCTGGGGGGGGGGTGGCGGGGTGGGGGGATGGGCACATATAGGAAGGGCGGGAATGGGGAGGCCATGTTCTCCCCAAATGCCGGCCCAGCCAGTCCCCAGAACGCCTCTGGCCTCTGGTAGCAGTGGCTGCATGATATTCCAGCCCTGGCTGTTGTCCTGAGAGAGGAGCTTTATCTCTGGCCCGGTCCTTGGTTCTCTGCGTTCCCAGGAGGGCCGACGCCAGTGTGGGGCCAGTGAGCCGCCTCTGTTACGGGAGGTTTGTTTAATTCGCCATCTCCTCCCTGTGATTTTCCTGGTCTCGGGCCAAGAAGGAAGCAAGTCCCACCATTTTCGCCAGACACATGGGTAGCAGTCTTGCATGCCAGTGTGGTTGCTGGGTATGGGCTCTGGGGAATGGGAGGGGGGTGTGCCTGAAAAGGAGGGAGGCCGGCAAGGCCCAGGTGTGGGACCAGCAGCAGTGGGCAGAGGGGTGCCCACCGGTCCCCCTTTTCCAGATGATTTTGTAAGTTAAATGCTTAAGCATTTTCCTTCGGTTTAAGAATCACTATTGAGATTCCTACCCAGGAGGGGGACTGAAGTAGGGGCTCAGGGAAGCTCCCGGTGTCTGGAAAACCAGGAATGTGGGGGGCAAGTAGCCTATGTGGGGGGCACATCTAGAGGGCCACCTGCGAGAGGTCACTTTGCTGCAGGAGGCTGTTCACTCAGAAAAGTCCGCCTCCTTGTGTTTTTACGTATCCCTGGAGTGTGTGCACAAAGGTGAGACACCCATGTGTACTCCCGTGCACCCCTGGTGTGAGGGAATGAATGCGTATGGGTGTCTCGCCTTTGCAGTGAGGAGAACACTAACCTAGGATTCGAGAGACCTGGGATTCAGGACTCCTTGGATTTACACTCGCTTAGAGGAGACGAGCATCTCTGAGCATTGATCTTTCTGTCTAGGAAAGGGTGCTGATAGCCCTGGCTTTGGCAGGCATGACGGGTTGCGCTGTGTCTCCCCCAAAGCTGTAGGTCAAAGTCCTAACCCCCAGTGCCTCAGAATGTGACCTTATTTGCAGAAAGGGTCTTTACAGAAGTCATCAAGTTAAAATGAGTTCATTAGGGAGGGTCACAACCCAATACGACAGGCGTCCTCAGGAAAAGGGTAAGTTTAGAGAGAGGCACGCAGGGAGGAGAAAGCCACCCTCACGCCAAGGAGAACGGCCGGGGACATGTCCTTCCCTCACAGCCCTCAGAAGAACCGACGCCGTCGACATCTGGATCTCCAATGTCAGCCTCCGAAACGGAGAGACCATACATTTCCGTGGTTTAAGCCGCCCGGTCTGCGCGCTTCTGCTGTGATAGCCTTCGGGAGCGATGTGGTGGGGGTGTCGTGAGGACTGGTGAAGTAAGGGATGTGGAGATATTTTGCAAACTGGAATGCACCCCACATGTATTTAGCCTATTATTGCGACCGCCACTGTTCAACGATCAGATACGTGTGCGTTTGTGAAACTTTGCACAGAGCCAGGTACCCAACCTGTCCTCGGTGCGCTTACAATCAGCTTCCACCGTGGCCAAGAGGCATCGAGCACCCACTGTGTGCTAAGCCCTGTGCTAGAGGTGTAGATATGAGGCAGACACTGTGCCTTTGCTGAGACACGGGTACTTCTTCCTTATTTTACAGGGGAGCAAAGGACTGCAGTGGCGGTGGGAGGGGGGACTTTAGGGGTTCCAACAGTGTGGAGTGGAGAGGTGAAGACACAGGGCGACCTAAATAAACCCCAGGGGCAGCGATCCCCTTGACTTTAACCATGTTGATGATGAACAAGGAGGAGCAGGTTGGGGAGACCCCGGGGGCTGGGCCTGGATCCTCTCATATAAGCTTTATAACATCCCTGAGACCGACGCTTAGACCCGTTGCACAGGTGAGCAAGCTGAGGCATGAAGGTAGTGATGAGTTAGTCCAGGGGCACCCTGCATGTAGCTGGAAGCGCCAGGACACAAACCCTGTTCTCTGTGACCCTCAAATCTGCATGTTCAGCTCTCGCCTGTCCCTCAGCAGTATTTGCTCCCTGGTCTGTGTCCTCTGGGTGTCCTGAACTGTGCTCCAAATCCATGTCTGCCAGCTTACTGCTTAGGTGTTGCTTCGGGTGAGACCTGAGGCCCATCCATCTTGACCATCTCCACCTCCCCAGGGCTGCGGCTCTGCACCCTTGCCCCCCACGCAGCCTCCGTCATGGGCCCACTGCTTGGTGAAGCTGCCACTGATGGAGTGTCACAGCTTCGTCACCGAGACTCTTGAAGGGAGGGAGGCGAGGACTTCAAGTTCTTTTTGACGCAGCTCATCTGGAGACTCCACCAGGACAACTGAGACCCTCTATGCGTTTGACCTCATTTGATGAGGGAGGGCCTCTGAATCAAGCCTGCAGAGTCTGGGGAAGCTGTGCAGGAAAACTGGGTGTCCCCAGCCAGCTGGGCACAGAGAGCACCTGGAGATCATGGGGGCACGCACGCCACGGCCCCAGCCCGGAGCACGGCCCACGGGACTGCGGCTTACCTCTGTGATGCGGGGGTTCGTGCACTTGCTGTTTGCGCCCGCCAGCTCCAGCCACTGGCTCTCGTGGACGGGGCAGTGCTGCCGCAGCGTGCACTGGCCTTGGCCCTGGCACCACCCGCACTCGAAGTCTGGATCCGCCTTGAGGCACAGGCCGCAGCTCTCACGCATGGCTCCACACTTGTAGAGATGCACTGCGGGCAAAGGGCAGAGGCGCTTTGGGGTGGAGTCAGGGGGCAGGAGGGGCTGAGGAGTGTGGACGAGGAGTGCAGTCCCAGCCTCTGGGATGGGACTGGACTGGGCAGTGCATCTGGAATCGACAGTCCTCCCTTCAGCTCACTCCACTCCACTCCCCGAGGCCCCCTGCCTAGCTGAGTCCAAGGTCAAGTTACAGAGCAGCGGGGGTGGTGGAGGGCTGGCTTGGGCCCAGAGGAAGAGGGACACCTGCCCAGGAATGCAGAGCCGCCCCTCCCTCTGCCCGGCCTGCCCCGCCACGGCCGCCTTCCACACCTTTATTCTGAGCCGGGTTGTCGATGCTGAAGTGCCCGTTCCACACGACTGTCAGCTCCACGGGGAGGTTGTTGATCTCCATCCCCTCGTAGGAATACTGCGGCCAGGCCGGGGAGGAGAGAAGGAAGAAAGCGGGGTCACTGAGATTCCCAGGGAGGCCTCACGAGCACCCAGGGCTAACGACTGACCATGACTGTGCATGTATGGGGGGGGTGGGTGCACGTGGATGCGGGTGCACACCTGTGGGTGGGCAGGGGTCAGGCAGCTGGGGTCGGGGAGGGCCGGGCCTGCTGGAACGCAGGTCCAGGGAGCAGCTTTGAGCAAGCTACTCGTCCATCTTCCACAGATGTCCCCATCAGCTGGGCTTTCCCCAGGAAGTGTAGCTGGGTCCCAGCCTTGGGATCGTGGTGCTAAGAGGCGGGGAGGTGGTACAGGGTGAGGTGCTGCCCGGGGCGCAGGGCAGAGCCGTGGCCCTCAGGCAGGCCAGTCACCATCTGTCTCTGACAACGGACACTTCTCGATCCCCAGCGGAGGCTGGGCGGGGGAGCTCCGAGTCTGCCCTGGGCAGCATTTCCAATCCCCACCTGGTGATTTTCTCATTATTCCACCAGACTCTGCCACCATAGGAGGTGGATGGACGAATAGAACTGAGACCGGTTTTCTGCAGAGGAAGGGATGAGGGCTGGCAATTTGTTGGAAGGATCTAGTGCAGGGGACTTGGTTTAAAGTGGTATTTGCAGAGCCAACAGGCTCTTTTAACTCAGTGTTGACGTTTGGAGGGGCTGGACCTGGGGATGTTGGTGGTTATTATGGTGGGCAGCTGACACTCCCTCCTCTCCCTGCCCCTCCTCAGCTAGCTGTGGCACCCTCCGCTGAGGGGACGAAGCCCCAGAACCTCGGGAATGCATGCGCTGGGGAGGGTCTCAGGGCCTGTCACTGGTGCCTCTAGCTCTGTGGCCCATGTGTAGAGGCTTCTCAAGGAGAAGTTATAACCCTAATGTGAGAAATCGCTCCAAATTCCCGAGTTCCAGAACGTACACTAATGTGAATATATTGTGATGTTCTAACATAGCAACATAACATAAGTAAGATGGAGTTTAGTTTTCCCCAGGCCCTGCTCTAGGGCTCTGAGATTTTTCACGAACTCCCCGGTGAGGACACCCAGGCCAGGGAGCCACGTTCACTGGTTTCGCTACAATGGTGGTGGTTTGCACTGCACCATCCACTCTCTCATGGCATCTCCCTGTGACTATGACACCTGGGCATATGCCACAGGACAAAGCAAAGCTCCCTAGCCCTGCGGAAACAACAGTGGGGCTTTTTTTTTTTTGATCAGTGCATAACTCAGCTGGTGATCCATAAGCCGTTTGCCATACAGCTCAATCATCAAATCCCCAAAGATTAGGTGTTTGTGTCTGGGTCAGGCTGCATCCTTCTAAGTCATGCTGAGTTTTCTCACAAAACCTCTTCTGCTCTATACTGGTGGTTCTCTTGGACCATCTTCATCAGAGTCATGTAGGGGGCCTGCTAAATGCAGATTAGGGCCCTACCAGAGTCATGTAGGGGGCCTGCTAAATGCAGATTCCAGGGCCCTACACATCCCCGACCTGCTGACTTGGGGTCTTAGGAAATGGGGGGCATTTTGAACAAGCAACTCTCATGTTTCCGGTGCTGGCCCAAGTTCCGAATCGCTGCTCCTTCCAGGCTGTTAGAAGCAGGGTCGTACTGGACTGCCCAGTGGGGAAAGAGAGATTTTTTTTAGGACGCTTTTGCAAACCTCCCCTCCCATTTCTTCTTCTAGCCAAGCTCCATTTCCCATCCTTGCACCTTCCTCCATGGCTATGGTTGAGGGGAAGTGGGGTGAGGGCGGCCCCAGGCTACCGGCTAGAGAGCTCTGGGCAGGGCTGGCTGTTCAGCTCCAGCGAGGCAGCGCTGGGCTCCTGCCCCTCAGACCTGGGTCTGGCCAGGACCCAGAGAGGAAGTAGCAGGCAGGGACCAGGCACTTATTGACCAAAGATTAATAGCAACTTCAGGACCTGAAACCCCCAGGAGAGGAAGGGAAGACATGTGTGTGTCTGTGTGCACAAGTGTGTGTGCACAAGTGTGTTCACACACATGCTGACTTGAGACAAGGTCAGTGCACATCTCTGTTGCGTGTTCATACATGTGTGTACGCACTCAGACAGACTGTCACAAAGTGGTTCTGTGGTGGCCAGCGGTGTGAATGTGGGCAAATGATCTAAGTCCCCAGGGTCCCCATTTGTACCATGGAAATTATAGTCAGCGCATACCTCATAGCATTGGGAGGGTTCGAGACAACCATCCAACAACGCTCTGAACACAGTGCCTGTCATGTAGAATGAGCTCCCAGATATTACGGTGTATTTTAATCTCTGTGTACACACTCAGGGATGCTGTGCAAAATATATTTGTGTTCCCTGTGTTTATGTTTATGTGGAATAATAATAGCAGCCACTTATTGAGTGTTTATGTGCCAGACATTGGAAGCATATGCATATGAGAACGCTGGTGTGTTCAGGTGCGCGCGTGTGTGCGAGCGCACATTTCCCTTACGAAGAAAACTGAAAATAAAAAAGACCTCAAGGAATATGCTGGGTGTTGTTTTCTCTCTCTGCCTCCCATTCCCGGAATCTTGATTATGAAATATGGAAGTCATACCTAGCCGCTCTGCTCCACTCCCTTGATGTCTAAGGAAGTCGCTCTCCTTCCCGGATACCCCCTCTTTACGACCTGCATCCCAAAGGGAAAGGGGGAGGCCAGACGGCTGGGGAGCTGGGACCACCGGCTCCCATCCCCCAGGACTCCCCACCTCCATGCCACTTAGCATTTGTACAGCTCTCTGTAATCAGCTGGCAGTTAATCTGCACAAAGCCCAGAGCTCAAGGAAGAGTGTTTCTGGCTCCCAGGGACCAGGAGGTTAAGTGTCTCAGACAAGTCTGGCACCCCATGGCCCAGCTAGTGGATGACATTGATCACGACCTTGGGAAGGTGTGATCCTTCCTCAGTTTCTCTACCTTCTGAAGCAAAGAGAAGACCTCTATATAGTTTGGACGTTCTTTTTTCCAACTATTCTCTTGTCCCGAGCTCTGAGATATTTTGCTTGAAAGTTCTACCTTTCGGGCGAACAAATCTGAACAACATGAGAAGCCTATGTGTCCATTTCCAGGACCCCAGAAAGCTCAGCAGACTCACTCCCAGCTGCGTTCCAGGAGAGTAGGAAGAGGGACAAGGTACCTCACCATCAGTCACCTCCCTCTCTCTGTTTTGCATATGGTAAATTGGGTCACCCAGAGAAAACGTGAGGCCACTGTGGGTTGGTGGAAGCTGGGCCAGAGCCCAGGGCCTCCGCCAGCACTGCGGCCAGTCAGCTGCCCACTGTGGCCCACTTACTCGGGTGATTGCTGGGGACCAAGGGGCGGATACTAGGCACTATTATTAACAGCACTTGACATTTTTTCTCTAGAACCTTGGTCTAAAGGAGGCCAGGAATTCCTACAATTGTTCCCTGTCCAACTGCTGCCTGTGAGCTGTCTTGTCCTTCTCCCACTGGACACATGACAGCTGCAGTGATTGGCCCATGGCCTGTCCCCAAAGAGTGGACCGGAAATGACCTGCCTGTCCCCCCGCCCCCACTCCAGCCAGCATCACACCCGTGATGAGTTTTCCTGCATCTCTTTTCCCTCTGTGCTGTCCTCTGAGACCTCTTTGTCACCCACCTCCCTCTGCCCCACAAACCCAGGGGACTTCTCATTTGGAGCCTTCTCCCTTCCTACGCCCATTCCAGAGAGCTCACAGAGGCAAGGAAACAACAGTAAGTCTTCTTCCGCAGTCCTCTGGGAGGTAGATCAGACCCCGCTCCCACAGGTAACACCGAGGCTGGGGTATAAAGTGCCCAGCTGCTAATTTTCATTCCACCTTTCATGAGGGGGTGTGTTACGAGCCCAGCACTACCTTTCCTTGTCCCACAGGTAATGACTGGTGCCAGCACCAGGGACCCTGTGAAGGCATCAGGGAAGAGACCGGCCCTCACCTGCCTGGCCCTCACCTGCCTGGCCCTCACCTGTCAGGGCTGCTGAGCTCCCATCTGTGCCCAGAAGGTTCTGATTTTGCCCGTACATTTGGGGAGTTCCCTGTGACCCATGAAGGGCTCATTCTTTGGGTCAGGTCTCAGCTCAGGGAGTGCTGAGGACATCTGAACACAATCGACTTCCAGTTCTGGAAGGACATAGAAAGGGGGCAGGTCCCAACAAGCCTCTTGGACGTTTGCGGCCAGTCCCTCAGGTGCAGACCCCGGGTTCACAGGACGAGCTCAGGCTGTCATCTGGGGTACCCTCGCCTATTTAACTGAGTCAGCAGAAGTATGGGGTCCAGGCTTGTGGCCTCTGGGGAACTGAGGACTCATTATCAGAGGCCGCAGGCTCCGTCCTCCCTCCTGACACCTGTGGGGCCCAGACCCCTGGAGCAGCTTCTCTGAGGAAAGCAAGGCTGTTTTCTCCATGGTCTGAAATCCCCAGCCACTTTCTGCTGAATCAAATGTGTGACTCAGATGCTTTTTTTTCCCCACAGGGATTTGCTTATTTGGGAGAGAATCACTTGACTCAAACCCTTGGGGCTGGTCCAGTTAGCCTCAGGACTGAGAAAAAACAAGAGGTATTTAATATCCCTTTTGCTTGCACGTTTAATCTGGAATGCTGCAGAGACTTGCAAAACAGCCTGGCTGCCGGGGGAGCTGTGGGGACACATCTGGGTTACAGAGGTTGGGAGATCAATTGTTAGTTCGGCCCCTATAATGCTGAGTGACCCTGGGCAAACACGTGGGCCTCTCTGAGCTCCACCGACCCCTGCACTGCTTCCTGCAGGAGGAGTGGAGCGCTCCCACGACGTGCCTTGTCCAGGACTCTCCTGGTCCCACATCGCATCCCTAAAACCAGTCACTGCTTATATGTACCCAGAGGCAATGAGAAGGATGAACGGGAGGCGGTATGATACAGGAGATGCCTCAGATCCAGGCCTGGCCCTGCCCCTCACTCGCTGCGTGCCCTCGTGCACGCCATTTACCCTCTGGGCGGGGTGGGCACCCTGAGGCACGTGGAGCTGCGTATCTGTTCTTGTATTTCTTATATTCAATTCTTAAAGAGGGTTCCCCACAAGCCTAGCTGTACCCTCGTTCCTCAGCCTCTAGTTTCTCTTTTGCACCGTGAAGAAGAGCGTGACGGTTTCGCACAGCTCGAAAACATTACAGGTCTCTAAGTAAGGCGTTTGTCTCCGAGCATCGAGGTGCAGAGAAGTAGCCCAGAAAGAGAGTGAGAGCGAGCGGAAGAGTGACTGGGAAGGCCACAGGCAGGCGGGAGGTGGTGCACCGTGAGGGTTCACTGTGGTCCCTAGGAACCAGGTCGCAGCCCGAGCATGGACCTAATGTGAGTTTTCTAAACAGCGGGCAGGGTTTGTGCTGAGCCGAGCAGTACACTCGGGCCGCCAGCTCCTCTGCAGGAGCATGGTCTGTCTCAGAGGCCTCTTGTGCTGGGAAGTGGCCTCCGTGTAGGTGTGAAGGGGGCGTGGGGCCTTCGTGGGCTCACATGAGGCACTCAGCTCCGCCCAGTAGAAAAGAAAGGCCCAGACTCCTCTTAGGAAGGAGGATGGAACACACCTGGTAAATACATCTGCCTGTGAATAGTGCTCAGCAGCCCCACAGCTGGTCCCAAAGGCCCTCTGCCCACAGTCCCTCATCTTGGGCAAAGGACCCTCCTGGCCACAACAGGGCCCCACCTCTGGGCGGACACTTGTCGATCTCGGAGCCCAGCCCTCTGCTGGGTCGGGTGTAAGGGGCTGGGCTGGGGGAGCAGGGAGGGAGAAAGCTGAGCAGTTTTGTGGGTGTCAGGGAATGTCCTGCAGAGCCGAGCTGGTCAGGCGCTAGAAGAGGACAATGAGGGGGTGGAGGCGGGGCCCGGGGCCTGGGGCCGCGGGCCGGGGCACTCACAGAGGTGTTCTGGCACTGCACGCTGGAGCTGTTGAAGCGCAGGGCGGGCACTCTCTGCTCGCTGCCCTGGATGCTGAGAACGCACTCGTACCCGCGCTGGCCCGACTGCGGCTGGGGCAGGTTCTTGGCCTTCAGAGTGATGGGCTTGATCACTTCCACGGGCACCAGGATCTTGTCCACTCGCAGCAGCTGGGGGCAGTCCTGGGGACAGAGAGCACGGCTCAGGCTCGAGCGGGAAGCCAAAGGGAGAGGAGGCTTTGCAGACCTAGCACAGGTGTTGGCCCCGCCCCTCCCTCCCCGGGACACAGGCAGGGGAGGTCCTGGGCACTGGTGCCCACCCCAGCCGCCGAGCGGGAGGGAAAAGGACTGAGAAATCCTGGGTCCCAGAGTTTCCATTTTGAGGCCACTTCTCACTGCAATAGTCCCTTGCCCTCTTCAGGTTCCATTTTAATGCACTCTTGACTCTGACACCCCTGGTGGCTTCCTCCTGGCACCCCTGGTACCCTAGCAGAGACAGACACTGCTGGCGGGGTGTCCCACTCCACTCTGGGCTGCTGACCCTTTGCCTAAGTTCCCGACTGCCGAGACTGGGGGCAGCGGGACCCACGTGAGCAGCACGACAGTCAGGCAAAACCCTGGGCCGAGGTTCTAGAGTGTGAGTCTGGACCACAGAAGGCGGGTCCAGCAGGGCTGTCCATACACAGGATGATTCTGGCATTCGGGAATGTTCTGGAATGAGCCCAGAGGCCTTTTAAATCCAGAAGCTTCTGACTGAACTCTGGGGATGGCCTGATCCCGAGGAAATGCCCCTCAGAGAGGATAGACCCCGAGTGCCTTTCGGATGCTGACAATGGGCGTGCTCGTCCCTGGTGCCACGTGGGGCCCAGAGGGCCTCTGGCTCTGGAGGACACAAGTCTCTGGGCCCCTTCTCCCTGGGGCAGTCAGCTCTGCCCGGGGAGGGCTCGGGAAGAATGGGGTCAAACAAGGAGTGTGGGTGCTCTGCTCAGCTGAGAGGTAGAAGCCGGGTGTTCGGAGCTGGGTAGAAGAGAGTCGGCATCCCAGTGGAGTCTGGGCACCCCACATCTGACAGGTCCACTGTCCCCCAGATTCCTCCTGCTATGGCACTGTTGGGGAGCATACCGAGACAGATGGATTCTGGGTAGGCTGGATGTCAAAAGCACAGCACACACATTCTTCCTGAGGACGCTGCCTCATGGGTTTACTGCTGACTCTCCGCAGAGGCTGCTGGCCCCCAACCCCAGAATTCTCCCCCAGCCGAGTAAGGCAGAACAGAGGCTGTGGGGGAATGGCAGACAGGAGGGGGCCCAGGCAATCAGGCAAGGGGCAGCATCCCTACTGGGTCTGAGAGCAAACGTGAGCCCCCGTCTCTGAACGCTGGGAAAGACTTGAGCTCTGGTGCCCGCTGAGCTTCCGATGAGCCATGGCGCCCTGAGTACATCGCATCCCCACCGTGAGACTCGACTCCCTTAACTGTCAATTGGATGGGACCTGAGGACCCATTCAGCTCCAACCAGTCCTGATTCCATGATTTGGGGGTGGCCTCATACTTGTCCTTCTTGAGTACCCAGAGCATTGCATTAGGGAAGAAAGTGCCCCAGCGCTGTTAAACGAATCCCTCCTGCCCTCCCCCAGGCCGCTCACACCTTTATCCTGAAGAGCAGCTAGGAGACAACAGCAGACCCAGCAATGCCCCTGGGGTGGGGGTGGGGGGATACCCAAAAGGACTGAAAAAAGGAACTCGAAATCGTATACCATGTTCATAGCAGCATTATTCACAACAGCCCAGAGATGGAAGTGACCCAAATTTCCATCAATGGATAAACAAACTGTGATAGACACAGACGATGGAATATGGTTCCACCTTAAAAAGGAAGGAAATTTTAATATATGCGATGACATGGATGGATCTCGAAACCATATGCTAAGTGAAATAAGCCAGTCACAATAGGACAAATATTACACAATTCCACTCCTGTGAGGTACCTAGAGCAGCCAGATTCATAGAGACAGAAAGTAGAATGGTGGTATCTGAGAGAGAGGGAGATGGAGAGTTAGGCTTTAGTGGGGACAGTGGTTGGGTTTGGAAACATGAAAAAATTCTGGAGGTGGATGGTGGAGACAGTTGCATGACAATGTGAATGTACTTAATGGCACGCTGACCTGCACGCTTAAAGATGGCTAAGATGGTAAGTTTTACGGTACGTGTTTTACCACAATTAAAGAGCAGCAGCAGGAAGGCAGGCAGTAGGCGGGAGAAGGGGTGAGGATGGGGCCTGAACCCAGCATGTGGCCCCGAGGCTTGAGAGTGAGTGGGTCCCTGGAGACTTTGAGGCCCCCATGGGAGAAGAGTCTTACTGGATCCATCCTGTGCCGCTGTCTCAGCTGATAGCCCTCCCCCACTCCAACCGCCTGCTCCAGCAAGATGAGAATGCAGGACCCATGGAAAACAAGAGTTAGTTTGTGAAAAGGAAGATGCCCAGGATCAAGTGTGGGGGGTGTGATGTTGGAGAATAAAGAGACAGGATCTATGAACAGTGGGAAGCTGTCAGCTGAGGGTTCAGGCCAGTCCTGCCTCTGCTCCTTGCTCTACCTGTGGCCTTGGGGAGCACTTCCTCCCCCAGAGCATGCACAAGCCTGACCTTCCTCCTGCTACATCCACCTTTGCGTGCAGAAGCTGGGTCTATGGTTGTGTTTGGAGCAAGAGTGGAAGTGCTGGGACCTCTCACCTCCACTTCCTACAGCAAAATGTTGCTGCTCCTGAATGAGGGTGTCTGCAATCTGACAGTCCTCTGAACCGACCTAATGGATCCTTTCTACTTTGCAAAGGAGAAACTGGGGCAGGGAGGGGAAAAATAATGGCTCAGTGTCAGCAGATGTGCTGGCAGCTGACTAACACAGTTGCAACCCATTATCTTTCCTCACCATAATGAAACAGGCCAGCTCCTATCGGCATGGGGGACCACCTCAGAATGGAGTGGTAAGTCAGCAAGGATCTCCCTGAGACCAGCAGGACTAGGGAGCTGGGAAACCCTCCCGAGTTATGCTGGAACCTCGCCTGGGGGCTGGGCTGATTCTGGTCCAGGATATGGACTAAAGCATAAGCCTCTCTCTCTTCCCCTGTAAGATCCTCACCGAGGCTTGTTATGAGTTCTCTAATGAGTCCTGATTGCCAGTGGCCTCATAAAGGCTTAGTTTGCATATAAAAAGGTTGGCAGCTCTTAGAGCAAGTTCATTAATTATAATTGGAGAGGCCCAGGGCTGGGCTGGGCCCATTTTCCTCTAGTGGCACTGCTGATTGACCCCAGTAACCCTCTTAATTGAAATGTAAAATGGCCATTTTTTTTCTTAGGCAACAAGGCATGAAAGGACCATTGCCACCATGCTGCCCCTTCCTCCCACTCCAGCTCTCCAGATCCTGACCTACCTCATGCCGAGGTCCCAGGTACAAAGCCACCTCCAAGTCTAATAATGCTCTTGGGAAATTTCAGAGAAACCTCCACGTTTCCCATAACGCTGAAGCCCTGTTTTGAGCACCTCTGCCATGGTCCAGGAGCTCAGGTCACGTGGACCTTGTCCTTACCTTTGAGCTTCTTTAACTAGAGAATCTTGTCGGGAATCACGTAACTTCAAGTGCAAGTCTATGTTTCTTTCCCCCTGTGAATTTTGGAGTCTGAGAGGGCTCTGATCATTGCTTGGTTTAACTATAAGTGGGGAGTAACAACCTCGCCACCACAGGGCATTGAGGGCTTTCCATGAACTACCATGTAGAAAGTATCTGGCAGAGAGCGAGCAAGTCATCAACAAATGCTTGTTCCTTCCTTATCTTCTCCCTCGGCTCAAGCTGCTGCTTGTTCCTCATCTCCTCTCTCTCTCTACCTCATTTTTGAATGAAGCCTCCATCTCCCCTGCCCCTGTCTCTGTGTGACTTTCCACTGTCTCTCACTGCCCAGCTCATTCCACCATTCTTGGCTTCAGGTCTTATGCGGAGCCTGATGATGTCAACAGCTCCAAGTGCCCCAAACACAAGGGGGACAGATAGGAAGGTCCCAGTTCTGTCCACTGCTCCCTTAACAGCAGTCCCATCTTCTGGGAGGTGACATCATGAAGCTGCATGTTTCACATGCTCCGCCAGCCAACCATGGGGCCTTGGGCGAGTCTCTCAAACCTTCTGGGTCTTCTTGTCCATAAAATAAAGAGGCCGGTTCGGATTAAATGATTTTTATGATCTCAGTTCTACTATTAACTCAGTGGATGTTCTAGGACGATCATTATACAATATTTCTGAAGCTTGGTTTTCCTATCTCTAAATCGGGGGTCATAAAGCCAGCTCGACTAGCTCCGAGCATATATATTTAAAATACTGACCTATTGAATACATGCTAGAGGGGCTTGGGGACGTGTGGGGGAGGCGGGCCTCCTGGAAGTGGCTATTTATCTACCAGGAGGAAAATATTTTAATATTCTAATAACTGGTGCACTATAACCAGTACCACCGAACAGGCGGGCATGATCTGGTAGGCAGCGTGGGAAACCGTCATGATTCTAGTGAACCTGGCGGACACAGTAAAAGGCATACGCGAAGTCAATCCAGTGCATATTCCGCCACCTCCACCCCTCACACATATTTTTCCACTCTCTTTCTTGTTTCACGGCGTAACACATATGATCCCCCCATGTTCATGATAACAAAACCAAGGACCCCAGTTGCCTCGCTCTGTTCCCACAAGGACAATGAACAAAATATTTTCTCCTTGATCATCTAACTGACTTTTGTCCCCAGATGACGATCAAGTCCCCATACGGGATTCCTCAAACACATCCTGCCCTTCTCTTTTCAAGGAAGATATTTCTCTGAAGTACCATGTGAAAGGGCCAGCTCTCGGAGGGTGGAATATCCCTGCGTTTAGCACGATCATTTGGAGACAAGTGCAGTAAGAAGGAGATTCCCTTGAAGGCTGTTGTGCCTGTGGCTACATTCTGCGGTTGTAAGAAGGGACCGAGGGCAGGGAGTGGCAGTGGCTTGAGGCACAAGAAAATCTTTAATGTGTTGGCTTCAGGAGGTAGCTCCAGTGGGCTCCAGGTCAAGTGGCCAGCGCTGTGAATATTCTGGTGTCCACTTAAATGCACACGGACGTAAGATAGCCCTGTTCGTTGCAGACAGCATGGACGCCAGGCTGAAGCGTGAAAGGAAAAAGGGCGCCTTTCCATCTCCCACGTCCAGTATGTCAGTGGCTGCTTTATGCCGAGGTTTCATTGCATATTTAAATAATTGAACAAGGACATAAAGACTGCCTGCCGCTGGGCTAGGGGAGGAAAGGCTGCCTTTGGGGCTGGCGCTGCCTGGGGGAGTGGGGCTGGCAGGCCTGTGGATTTACAGCCCCCAGTGTGTTCACGAGATGACGGCTCTAATTCTCTTAGTGGTTGTTACAGAAAAACTCGGGGACTGTGGAGCTCTGGGGGGGTGGGGAGAGCTGGGCTGGGGCAGCATCTAGGGGCAGCTAAGGAATAAGTGATTTCCAGGTCACCTTTCCCTTTCACGTCACCTCGGTCCCCATCAATTCCAAAGACGAGCCAGCCCTAGCTCCAACCAACCAACCCCCCAAATTTACACTCCCCTCCTCAGTCCCGTGATGCCCAATACAAAAATGTAACGCACCATATATTTTCTTGCTGTTCCCCAAGTTTATAATGCCATTAGCGTGATCTACGATGGGCTGGCTTATGGAGAGAGCAAAGTAATAATACAGAGAGGAAATACCCATAACCTTGGGGGGCGGGGGCAGGCGAGATTGATGGAAAGTGCAATTGTCTGGGGGAAATGGCAGCTCAGCGACGGGATACCTGGAGCGGGGACGGTGCGTGGATGGAAAGCAAGTCCTTCAGCCAGGTTTGGCTTTGTTTGTCTCAAAAGAGGGTGAAGGGCATGGCAAGGGCGGTTTCATTGTTTTGAGTCGGGTCCCAGGGATGGCCCCTCGGCGAGAAGGGAAACAGAATCACTGACAACATGGGCTGGCTGACTTCTCCCGAGTCCAGGTGGAGGGTAAGTGCCCTTGGCCTGGGGCTTGTTTCCGCATTGGGGGCAAGTGGCAATCCCAGCATCTTCCTGCCTCGCCAGCTCTTCAGTCCTGGATAGTTCTGACCCTTGGGATCGGCGGGCTTTGTGATATCCGTCCCGGTTATGGACGGCATCTCGGGAGTAGCAGGGTGGTAGGGGAGGTTGGGAGAGCGTTTCAAGCACAGCTTTGGAAATCAAATAGAATTAATTTTGCCTCTTCTGATCTTACAACTGTTCTCTAGAGTAAGCTCTGCTTGAACTTCAAGAAGAGACGGGCTGCAGGAACCTCCTTTCCGAGCCCGTGCCCCATGGGTCAGATGTGCTTCGCCTTCCTAGTAAAGCCCTTCCAGTCTGGCGCCCGCATAATAGAACTCCAGCTGCGGTTCACTTTGCTTTCCAGTTTCGGTGAGAAAAAAAAAACGGTACGGTAATCGATCAAGGACAAATTTTTGTCAATAGTAATGCTTTTCCGTGGAGGTTCACCTTCGTTCCCTCAAGATCTTCATTATTACGAGTGTGGGCACGATGGGGTGTTCGGGTCAGCCGGCAGACGAGCCTGGGGATTCCAGAGCTACTTGGGGACCAGTGGCTCCTCCGGCCTGGTAGAGGTGAGGGCGTGGCCCTGTTCATGGCTGCCCCAGTGACAAGCCATTCCATGGGGAAGCAAGGAGTTTCCGCAGATACTGGGAGAACAGGACCGAGAGCAGAAGACTCTCTCATCCCACCCCAGTGTTCCTTCACCTTCCTCTCCCTCCTCCCTTTGGTACCCAGGATCTGGCAGCTGATCTAAAGACCCGGGGTTGTTAACACAATGTCATCGGTAGCTGAAACAAAATCGTTCCTTGTAACTGGAGTATAGTTACCGTAAACAACATATGTTACTGGGTATTCTACTTCTAATAATTGTAATTATGCTAGAATACTTGCCATTAATATAATAACAACAATGATTGACCAGTCCTCTGTTCCGTCCGGACCAATAACTTCACCTGAATACACTGTTTGTTCATGGGGGATAGAAAGGTAATTCGACAACCCTGGTGATAGTCAACGACTCCAGTGTTGAAACTGGAAGACACACAGATGAAAGTCTTCCTGGGGTACAAGATGGTGCTGGGCAGATGAAAAGCCACCTGGCAGCATCCCTCTTGGCGAACAAAAGGACCTTGTCTGCATCCTACACTCAAAGGCGAAAGGGAAATGAAAACCTGGGGACTTTCAGAAGAATCACCGGGCTGGGGTCTCGCCTTCGTTCCAAGAGGGTAGGTCTGCACCTGGGCATCCAGGGTTGCTGCAGGCCTGAGGCCGAGTAAGTCACTTCACCAGGTAAAACTGGGAGACCTAAGCCTCAGCTGGAACACGCACCCTGTAAGACCACTCTGCGGGCATGGACTTCTCTTCGATGCTTTCCAGCTTACCTCCACTTACAACCACAGAACTTTAGTGATCATGTAGACCAGGATCCATGTCACACATTTCTAAATACAGATCTACGGATCTCTTATACACCTTTAAGTCTCTCACAATGCCTTGTACGTGGGAAATGCTCGGGAACTGGGTAATGAAGGACACATGGAGACGTGTAGCAAAGGTTCAGCTGGTGCAGAGAGGGGATGTGTGTGTTGGGAATTTCTATAAAATCACCTTCAAATGCGTGATTTTCTTTGTTTCTCCTGCTACCATCTCTTCCTAGGAACAAATATATATATGTGTGTATGTATATATATATATATATATAAACAACCAAAAACGTAAATTAAAAAAAAAAAATTACTGTATTTCAGAGCTTTCTTTTAAGCTCTGAAGACAATGACGTCCTTCCACTGACTCAAAATGGTTGGATCAGTCAATAGCCCACAAATATTTTTTTACTTCTTTTCCCTTTGGTGCATTCTCCAGAACGATGCTGCTATGACCATCGCAAGGTCAACGCTGGCTTCTCCTCCATGTTGTATTCAAAATGGCCCTAGTATTGAGCTAGGTGGGAGGCAGCCCCCAAGCTTTGCCAGACTTAAAAGCATAGACTTAAAGCTTCCTTCTCTAAGAATAAGTATGCATACAAGAAAATTAGGAACCAAAGTTAATTCCATTCAATTACGTAATAAGGGAGGCATGGTGATCCCATGTCACCCCGAAGCCTCTCACTGCAATAGCCTTCCAGGCTCACCACAAAACAGCTCACGTGACATGGGAAGAATCGAAAGTTAGTCCACCTCCATGTCTCTCCATAGGCCATATTCCTCCAGGCCTCTCTCTTTCCTGGGGGTCCCAGTACCAAATCCTGAGAGGTGCTGTGAGTCCCCAGCAGCCTTTGCCAGTGCCCGGTATAGATGGGGCCTCGTGCCTGGCTTGCAGTCTGGGCCCTTAAAGACATCATTCTTCTATAGGGATCCCTCTGAATTGCTCTGGGAAATGTGGCGGGCTCTTGTTTTATTTTCTTCTAGTTCTTTTTTTCCCTCTTTCTGAGCAGCAGAAACAAGTTCCTTTTATATATTTAAAAGAAAGAAACTTGGGAAAAGGGCAGCAAACAAGAAAGAGACAGCAGAGATTTGAAAACCTCCTTCGGGGTAATTAAATGAGGAAGGGCCTTCGAAATCCACCAGATAGTTCGTTTCCGCTTTCATTTCATTCTTAGGCCTCTCCACGTTTGAAACTTCCGCCAGGTACACCAGTCTGGAAAGAGAGGCTGGAAACCTCTTTGTCTCACTCCCATCGAATGACTTGCAGGTTTCTGAACAAAATGAAAAGAGGTCGCTTCCTGGGTCCTCAGCCCCTGGTCTTAGTGTATCAACCAGCCCTTCGGCTCCTGAGTCTAAAGGTCAAAGATCAAGGAGACTGTTCAGCCCTTTATCAGGATCTTCATGCCACGGGTGTGCTCCTTTTCTGTCAGACCCAAGTCTGTCCTGTTAGCTTTAGATCCTTTTTGTTTTAGGTGAAGAAGAATAGGGAATGGACACATACACATTAGGTTCACAGTCTTACTTAAAGCCAAGATGTAACCTCTTTTCTCCTTTTCCTTATAAAAGGACAATCTAGGTCTGGGTCTTGTCCGGCCATTTCCAATCATAGACAGACACCATTGTACAGGGAGAGGGTCTTCTGTCTGGGGACTTCTATAACCTCTGTGTGTGTGTGTGTGTGTGTGTGTGTGTGTGTGTGTGTGTGTGTTTGTGCATATTCTAAATAAGAGCATTCTAAAGCAACCACTGTTCAGAACTACTGGCCCAAAGGCTGGAATCACACAGGCATCACGATGTTTGAACAACAGTGGACTTTTCCAAAGTCTTCTTATATTCATTTATCTTTGGAGTCTTTGCCCACAAACTTACATTCTAAGAACGGTAACAACATAATAGAGTATTTCTATTATGCTGATGAATAGTTTGCAAGGATAAGAATACAGATTAGGAGGAACTAGGAACCCGGTGTCTTAGCCGTGGAGCCCACCTCCGTCTCGGTGGTTCCCACACTGGACCGTGCAGCAGAACCGGAGTGCTGTGCCCCAGACCAGAGGGTCTCATCCAGCTGGAGTGGAGCTGCAGACTGTGTTTCTAACAAGTTTGCAGGTGCTGCTGATGCTGTGGTCTGGGAGCCGTACTTTGAGAAGACTCTGCTCTGGCTGAGGAGTTGATCATTCTTTCGATTTTCTTCCTTTTACTTAATTTGATTCCTTTGACCTCAGTTCTGTGCTGTGAACAGTGCTCTGAGTGACAGCTAAAATCTGTACATAGCCCTGCTGTGCACTTATGTTTATTTCTAGGACACACACACACACACACATGCACACACACACACATCGTCTTTGGAATTGTTCTAGAACTCACCTGGCTGGGGTGACCTGGAATACACCCTTTGTCTGGAACTGAACCTCCAGGACTGACCCAGAGCCCACCAGCCCCAGTGTAAAGCTTTGCTTGTTTACTGTTTTCACAAAGTGGCCCCTTGAGTCTCAGGGTTGGGGAGGAAGCGGGATTTGCCTTTGTTTTGTCTTCAGGGAAGGCCTGCCTGTATGTCCCACGCTCATTGCGAGTGACACTCACCACTTCGACTGTGGGGACCTACCTCAGGCAGCTTCACTCGGCCTTCCTGGAAGGAGCAAGTCTTGGGGTCATGGGTGCAGACATGCCGGTATTTACACCAGTGGCAGCGGAATGGGCTCTCCACGCAGGACAGGCACCTGGGCCCAGAGGAGGAAGAGGCACAAATCAGAGAACCTGGGTAAACCCAAAGCAGAGGGCTTAAGACTCTTGGGTCTAGCAAAACATTTTTTAGTAGTAAGAAAAACCACCCTCAAACACTCAGGAAGAGCGAATCTTATCTACATCCATTCCCTGTCTTTCTAAGTCCTCAGCAAGCCAAGAATCTCTGGCCTCCTCCCCTTCACCCAGGTAAGTGACAACCCTATTTGCCAAGGGCCTCATCGACCACCTTCCATTTCCACAGGATGCTGCTCTCCTTTGCGGAACTGGGGAACAATGAGGACTGGAGGAGAGGGGCTGGTCCGGAGAACCCATGAGAGTTAGGGCAAACAAAGAAATTGAGTTTTAATTCAAACCAACTCCAGGGTCTTGGCTGACAAGGACCCACACGATCCCACCCTGGCAAAGGCAGGTCCCGAGGCTGCTCTCTCAGTGGGTTGGGCTCCTCCTGTACAGTTGGCAACCCCACCTCTACACTTCACCCTCAGGAAACAAAGGCAGCTTTACGAGTTCCTTCCTGCTTAAAAACTCATCATGGTTCCTCCTTCCAAAGGGTAAACCCCAAAGGCCGTGCCATGCAGGTTAAGCTCTTCCTGGTGTTCAGATCCACGTCCTCACGTGTGTTTGGTGCTTCAGTGATGAACAGGACACGCTCTCCTCATGCCATCCTACCTGGAGTACCACTTCCCCTTCTCCCACTTGGCCATCTCCTCTTCCTTCTTTGACCAATGGAGAGTTGGTCACACTAGGCCCTTATTCTATGAATCCCTTCGTTTATGTCTCTGGGACAGTACTGGCTTTGTTATTATATTATATTTCACTTATTCACTGTCTACTTCATCCACTAGTCCACTAGGCCGTGACTCCTGGAGGGTGGGATTGAGTCTCTGCATCTTACCAGTTTTTGATAACCTGTCTAATGAGTCCTACATTGCCTTGTCCATAGCAGAGACTCATGACCATTTTGTGGACTGAATGGAAACTTCACACAGGATTTCATCCATTACTCTGCTTTGCTATAGGGGCAAAGGGGGAATGAGGGATTAGGCCGCCAAGTGGTAAAGCCATGGGAAGTTCACTGGCAAGAAGCAGAAAGAGAACTCCAGTGCCGAAGCACATGATCTTGGCTGGGAGGTCTGGCTGCCTCATACTTGGGGCCCCAAAGAGAGCCAACTGCTGCCATAAGCAGAGAACTAAACCCCCAAATTCCACCAGGGTAGAGTCCAAAAATGTCTTTGGTTATGTTAATTAGCTTGACCTGTCTGGAGAGGAAAATAGAGCAGCATATGAAAGCAGGTAAGGCTTTTTGAGATGAGATCCTACAGTTCTCACGCTGTGCTCTCAAGAACCCTGTGGAACATCTTTGGAGACTGAGGGGGTAGACGTGTGGGGTTCCTAGGCAGAAGGGTCCCAGACCCCCTCGACCCTCTACCCGAGTAGCTTCTACTCCTATCTATCTTGGACATCATGCTTCCATGCCTATTTTTGGTTGGAGAAAGATTTGTATGGTGAAAAAATGGCTTATGCCTTCTCAGCCTAGTCCAATCCCATCATTTTAGAGAGGAAATAATCATATAATGACAGCAAAAACGTGAGCAGCACCCACATGGTTGGCCAGACACCTCTAACCGCTTTCCTGGTCATAGCTCTTCTGGCCCTGGCAGCAGTCCTGCGGGCCAAGAAGGGTTGATGGGCAGGGGCAGCAGTCAGCAGCGTCCTAGCCAACGGCTGCTCTCCTGGGACAGCGCCCTTGCCATGTCAGCTGTTAAATATCCGTATGCCATCCCCGGAAGAAGGACTTCTCTGTCCCCATTTACAGAGGACACTGGGGCACAGAATGCCTTGAGCCTCTGTCCTCCACGGCCTCCCTAGGGAAGTGGAGGCTTCAGTCAAACAGGGCCAGAGCTGGAGCTGGAGCTGGAGCTGGAGCTAGGCTGCCAGGCAGAATCCCACCCAGCTGGTACCTTTCCGCGTCAAACAGGGCCAGAGCTGGAGCTGGAGCTGGAGCCAGGCTGCCAGGCAGAAGCCCATGCAGCTGGTACCTTTCCGGCCCCTCTGACCTCTCCAGCCTGAGTCCTGACCCAGCCTATGGGGCACTGTGCAGAGCTGGGCATTCAGTGATGCGCTGGGCCACGTGCCCTTACCTGGATGCACATGGGAGCTTCTTTCCCTCCTCAGACCCCTCCCCTCACCCAGGGTGCTGGCTGTTCAGTTCTTCAGGTGAGATGCACCCCCTTCCTCAACAGATGGTGGAAAGTGAGTCAGGTTAGACAGATTTCTGCCAGACGAGACGTGTGGGCCGGGGATGAGGAGCTGCCCACCCGACAGGGTCTCACTCTGCTCTTTCTCAACTCTTTCCGTTGACCCCATGGGCACTAGAGGAGGGGCCTGTCTGCTTCAGGGGTGAAGGAGGCCTCCCTGCGGGGCCTCTTGGTGTTAACTCCTTGCGAACCGTGGTGGGGTCTTTGATCTCTTGACGAACCTTGACTCTGGGAACAGGGAGCTGAATGGGGCTGGGGCACTTACGAATTGTGAACGCTGCAGTTGTAGAAGACAAAGCTGGTGCTGGCAAAGGTCATGCCCGTTTCCTTCGACTTGAGCTGCAGCTGGACGACATGGTGGTCCCCTGCAGAGAGGTCAGGGGTAAGGCCAAGGCCCTGTGGCGGGTTCGCACTGAGAGTCAGGGAAAGGGGAGCCTACTGTACCTTGAGAAGGGGCGCCCTCAGCTTTAACAATTCTCTGATTCAGTGGGCCCAGACTTGGGGTAACCCCGAGAGCAGCTGCAGAAGCCAGTTCTGGTCTATTCCTCTTTCCACACTCTACCCCTGGCACCTACCCCTCATTTGCTCACTAGCTCCTCAATGTGCACATACACAGACGCTGACAGAGATTCACATGTGCACTCATTCACACGCACGATATCCGTGCCAGACTCGCAGAAGTATAAACACATACATTGATTAGCTACCAGGAGAAATGTGTTGATGCTCAGTCATGCTGCCACAAACTATACAAAAAGTTTGTGCATGTGTGTGTGCGTGTGTGCGCACACGTGCTTAATCTGCATCTATGGAAAGAGAGACCCTGTTCTGACGCCCCTCCTCTGGTGGGCTTGGGGCTCCGCTTGAACGGGAACCCCTGGAATCCTCAGCTGGTGCCAAGAGGAGCTAGAGCCCATGTTTAATTCACAGACCTGACCTCAGGCCCCACTTCCAGCCTTGTTCTGTGCCTTCCCCAAAAGCCTCATTAATCAATCTGCCTGGAACTAATGTGGCAAGCCCAAATGGGAGGGCCGACATGGAATCCATCTGCCCAGGCTGGGTCTGTCCCTCGACAGCGTTGGGCCTCTGTCCACCCCCATCCCTACCAGTATAGCTGGCCACAAACAGGCAGCTCTGGGAAGGCTGGGCAGGGTGAGGGGGTGGGGGCAGTGGTCCAAGGTCAGGGTGGGGGTGGGGTAAGAAGACAAATGACCCGCAGCACCCCATCCCTGCTCCTGACCAGCTTCTCCTCCTCTACTGCCCCTCTATGCCGACCCTCTCATGTTCCAGTACAGTCTGTGAACCTCGCTGGCATACTCTGATGCTACCCTGGCCTTGCTTTCTAACAACTCGCTTTGCAGCTGCTTCTCGCCTAGGATGAAGTTGACTCTCAGATGCTCAACCGGTTTCAACAGTCAGTTCCAAGGGCAGCGAAGGGACATACTTCCTCCCCCTCTTCCTGTAACATACCCACCTACATTCACCCCTTCCTCCAACCCATAGGCTCCCTCCATCCCCCCCACATCCGTCCTCAGTGCTCGTCCAGATGGGAGGAAAGACGTACCACCCAGCTTTGTCTTCGGGGACCGCTCACCATTCTCTGTGATTATCCGGGGCACCTCCTTGGCCGCTGGGGAGTAGCACTGGATCTGATTGCCTACCACCAGCCCATCCATCTCTGACAGGTCCTCAAAGGTGCAGTTGACGCCAGCTGACAGCTCTGGGACATTGTATGTCTCCAGGACCAGCTGTGAACACCCCGGCAGAGGGAGAGAGAGAAGGAGAGTGAAAAGGGAAAAAGGAGGGTATGGAATAGAGGAAGAAAGAGGGAGAGCAAGAGAGACCAGACAGAAAGAAAAGAGAAAGCACGACGTGAGGCAGTATTGATGTAGAGAAGGAGAGACCCAAGTTATTACAAGACCATATAGAGAGGGTGGTGGGATGTAAAGAGACAGAGAGGAAAGGAAGTTCATTACGTATGAATGGAGCCGGCCCAGGAAGCAGACTGTCTAGGGCATTTGTACGTAGAAAGGAAGGCGAGCAGGACCGAGGCACTGCTCATCGAGCTCCTCTTCCACTGTCCCCAGTTTTAGAAAAATGTCCACACCAGCCACCAAGTGTCCAGTGCAAGAACGTGGGAGCCATCGTACCCCTGTCTCTCTCTGCACATACATCTTTCCCGTCTTAGAGACAAAGATATTGTTCCTAACACCCTCCCTCTCTCGGTTATCCTTTGGATCATTTTGGGATCAGTTTTCCTTGTTTTCCTACCCATTATGCATAAGGCCTCTCCTCAAATATTCCTGAATACGCCCACTTCTTCCATCCCCAGGGACAGAGTCTTCAACACCTGGCCCTGCTCTTGAGCAGCTTGGCTGGCCAGGCTGGGCCCCGCCCTCCCGAGGGCGCTGGGCTGTGGCCCTCTTTGGTGAGGGGGGCGGGCTCTTCCCACATCCCTGGCCCTGGCCACGCTGCCCTTACCAGGACGTTGTACTGAGAAACGGAGATGTTGCTGGGATGGACGGTCAGCCGGACGCACTGCTTCATCTCGGAGGCAAACCTGCGGGGCTCTCTCGACCGCTCACACCTCTCCTTCCGGGTGCACCTGGTTGGGAGAGATGATGAGGGGCTCAGGAGAAGGTGTCTGGTCCAGCAAGGGTCCTAATGCAGAGGTGGAGCATCGTCGGTGGCTGCCAAGCCATGTCCAAACTCAGCCTTCCCTGACTGACCTTTTGGCTTCCTTCCCCCAGCCTGGTCCTCCCCCATCATGCATGGATTTGTAAAAGGAAGTAATCTCAATTACTGGTTGCCAAACGCAGAAACTTGAGAGTCATCCTAAGGTCCCCTCACCACCTCCTCGTCCACAGAGTTCCAAAGTCCTGTCTATTCCACCTCCCCACTCATCCTCAGCCCTTGTCACTCTCCCCTGCTGCCTCAGGCAAACTGAGACTTGTTCTTTCCACATGTACGTTATACTTCTTTGTCTTTGTGCTTGCCAGTTTTGTCTGCACTGCTCTCTCCCCACTTTCCCCGTCCAGCATCTATCTACCCTTCCAGACATGGTTCAACTATCATGCACCTGCCCCTCCTTCGCCCCTCCGCACTAACCCACCCCCACCTCAGGCCAAGTTAAGAGCACTTTGGAGTTTCCCGCAGTCTAGAACTTCTTAGATTATACGGCCATTATTGGTCTGAGTGCAGCCCTCACCTGCCAAGTGTGAGCTGCTCAAAAGAAGAAGCCATCCCTGACTTATTTGGGTGTCCCCTGTCATCCTCACGCCCGGCAGACAGGAGATAAACACAGGTGGGTGGAAGGAGAGAAGGAAGGATCCAAGGAGCAGATACACTAGTTTGAAGCATGCTCTGGAGCCAGACTGCTTCGGATCAGAATCCCAGCTCCGCAGCATAGGATAACTGCCACCGACGGTTTGCTGTTATTGCTCAGAGTCCAGTGCCATTCAAAGTGGACTGCGTCACAGGTGGACCACATCCAGGGTGACCTGGGATCTTGCAATATTAACTGATGGAGCCTCGTGAAAAGTGCACATAAACATCGTAGCCCTCACCCAAATTCATGTGTCACACGTGGGGAAGGTGCTTAAGCTATATGCTGGGGCCAGGGCCATCGCTGCCTTGCAGTGGGAGTTCACTGTAGGAAGGCATCTGGGCTTCAAGGAAAAGCATTTAATCCAAGTCAAACAAGCCTTGTGAACACGGAGCCTCGCTGAATGGCCAGGATTTGGAATCTCTGGAGTACTGAGTCTACTGTGGTGTGAGGGGAAGTGGGGGTCCTCAGACGGAGGAGTGGAGATAAGATGGAACCGGGGGGGAGGGGTCACCGCTCCTGAGTGGCTGAGCTCCTTAAGTGAAGGAGAATAGCCTGCCGAGGAAGGAGGACATTGGGGGGCTGTTGTAGGACAGGAGGGAGCACTGGGCAGGGAGTTTCGTAGGAAATGCACAGCCAGGGACACGAAACCCATGTGTGGAGAGGGGTACTAGGGAGAGGGCCTCTGCCTCAAAGAGAACACAGCTGAGCCTGGGGGAGGAGATGAGGGAAGAGAGGCATCTGGACACCCGAGCTTTTTCTTGGGGTGACCCTCAGGCACAGAGGAAAGCTGTGGGGGGCCTCTCCTCCCAGCCATGGGGAAGGAAGACACCTTGGCCTCAGTGGGAGCGACAGCCTAACAGTGGAAAATCTGAAAAGCGAATTTAGCAAACAAAGGAGTAATCATTGAAGGGATGGACTAAAGAAAGAACGGGGAGATAAGGGACAAAAGGGGTGGCCTTATAATAGATTGGATGCGTAATGCGAAAGTGAAAAACTGAGTTCCGAATAATGCCGTCATGGCTACTAGTCCCCGCGTGCATATTAGGCACCGTGCTGAGGGGCTTACAGTCTATGTCACTTAAGTCTCTCGACAGTGCCGTGAGGTAGGTACCATTTTAAACCCCACTTTATAGATCAGGAAACTGCAGAGAAGGTGGTAAGTCACTGCCCAAGGTCACCAACTAACCAGAGAGAAGCAGTATTTGACACAGATGGACTCTGGAGCCTGCACTCAACCACCGAGCTTTACCTCTCTGAGGCTGCTAGGTGACACGTGAAGGACAGACCCCCTACCTGCAGATGAAACCCATTTCCCCTGCTGTCCGTGATGCTGCCTTCATGTGCTTGGAGCAATAAAAAAATTTCCCCTCGATCCTCTTCTCTAGGCTAATGGCTCTTTCGATCTGCCACTAAGAAGCAGCAACCTGTGCATTCTCCAGGACCCTTCTAGGACTCCCATTCCCAGAGTGAAAGGTCGGACACGAGTGTGGTCGTCTCCACGGCACTCCCAGGCTGCTCTAGCAGACCCGTGGCAACAAGGGCGTCTGCCTTCCAGTCTGGGAAGTTAATTTACCGGGCTAGCTTCTCTGGAAGGACTTCATTACCTCCAGCCATTAAGCTAATGTTATGGACTTTTCCAGGGTCTGCGCTGACATCGCTATTAATAGCGTTTTAACTCCCGTGAACGGCAGACCCAGAGAGCTGGGACAGGCTTAAATTATTCACTCTCTCCCCAACTTTGATGTTCCTATTTCCAAGAGCAATCAGTAAGTCTGAGAAATGTCTTTGATTAAATTATGAAGAGGGGAAAAATGAAGCCGCTTTCAGGCCAAACCACACCTGGAGTTACCAAACAGAGATCTAGATAGAAAAGAGAGGCCTCCGTCCGTCTTCCGAGGGGCACAAAGGAACCTGGTTGCGGGATCTCCAGAGAAGTCCTACCTGCATGGTTTGCTGCTCCCCAAGTTCATGTGGCTATATCTTGCCATGTTCCCAAGAGCCCCAAACTAACGTCTCACTAGGTCTCACTAGGGAAGCCACCTATAGCTTACGATTTTCAATATCCCATCTCGCTATGCAATATTGGCCAAATCAACTTCTTTGTGCCTCAGTTTTCTCTATAAAATGGGGACAAAATTGTACCTACCTAATAGGGTTATGATGATGATTAAAAGATTATGCAAGTAAAGTATTTAGAACAGGGCAGAGCTCAGACATAAGCCCTCAATAAATGTTAGTATATCATCCTTCCTCTTCCAACCTCTCCAAACTACGGTTGACACAGAAGCACCCGTCCTCTCCCAGACTGGCCCATGGGGCAAATCGAAGACAAAAAGACAGGGGTGGGTACAGTAGTTTCCCTCTAAATGAGGGAGGAGGAGCCTCAGAGGTCAGGAGGGAGAAAGGGGAGAATGAGTGGTCTGGGCTGTAGCTCTCTTTTGACTAGCCATCACAGGGTATCTAAGTTGTTCTTGGATAAACCACAGCTCTTAGTGGAAAGTCAAGTTTAAGGTCAGTGTCAGGGATGTTTTGACATTTCCACTATCCCTCAGTGCCCATGAGGGTGGAGGCTGCAAACGTTCCAGAGCACAGACAACTGACCTTAGATGTGATAGGATAATGGAAGGGGGAGAATGAATTCCTTCTGGGGTCTTACGGGGTCTGTCAGGGCAACGGCCTCCTGCTCTTCTAAGACTGTGCTTTCTCATTAGCCCAGGCAAAAGCTAGGAAATGTGCAGAGGGTTAATTCATGACTCTTGGCGGGGCCAACTTAGATGTTTCCTTCATAGGGCTCCAGACACTGCCTAAAGCGTTCCCTGCAGTTCTGCTGTGAGAGCACCCCAGAGCTAAAGGAAGATCTTGCTTCACCCATTTTCCAAGCAGGACTCACAAAATGTCATAAGGACGCAAACAGTGCATGCTATATGACTTTGCATTTTCAGACATTCACCATTGTCACCCCCGCCCCCCGCCCAAATGCAGACCTGCAGAAGGCCAGCAGGAAGCAGGCCCCATGAAGACACCCCAGGCCCCTATAATTGGAGTCTTGCCCTGCTCACCTTTTTCTTACCTCCCTTTCTCATTCTACTTCCTCTGCAGTTTATCCCTCCAGCCGCAGTTCGGAGGTGCTACAAGCCCTTGGGGACAATGGCCTTGGCCCCTTGGAGGGGTTATTATTCAAGTCAGTGATTCCAATGAGATTATCCTCTCTAATGAAGCAGCCTACCTCTGCCCTCCCCTAAGCCCACACTTCCACTGCTGGAGAATTCAAGTGGAAAATTAGAAGGGAGAGGAGTCGAGAAAAGAAGGGGGTGAGGGAGAGGGGAAGAGGTGACGATTAACTTCTCTAAAAATTAATTTCTAAAATACGATGATAGAAATATTAACTTCCAGTGCTGCCAGCAGGGCAAGCAAATTTCAATTCGGAAATGGGACTATCTGTGAGTCCAGCCCGGGCCAGCCTCCAAGCTGGGGGGTCGTTGCTGGTCTGTCCCCTGAAGCCTACCAGCATGGGCCCACCAGCCTTGGTTATTGGACACTGCTCCTTGCTTCTCCCCACAGGTGACCCCCCAAACCTTAACATTTCACATTGATCATAGCCTGTGCTTAAGTGAATCATTGGGGAATCTGTTTAAAACGTGAGGAGATTGAAAAAAAAAATGGGGTGGGAGTGGGGCTTCCCAAATGAGCTCTACAGGAAAGTTAAGAGACTCAGAACGCTTGCTCGAGTAGGAGATCATGGGGCGCTTCGGTCATTGTCTCCACATCTGGGAAGCCTGACCAGGGAAGACACCTGGCTTCCGAATGTCATTAGCTTGCCCTCTTCAGAAACACCCACAGAAACGGACAGGTGCATCCGTGGCTCAGAGGAAGAGCTATTTAGTAAAGCCACGGTCCCCAACCTTTTTGGCTCCAGGGACTGGTGCTCCTAGGAGAATCTAATGCCCGATGATCTGAGGTGGAGCTGAGGCGGTGATGCTAGTGCTGGGGAGCGGCTGCAGATACAGATGAAGCTTCGCTCGCCCACCTGCCACTCACCTCCTGCTGTGCAGCCCGGTTCCTAACAGGCTACAGACGGGTACCGGTCCGTGGCCCAGGAGTTGGGGACCCCTGTAGTAAAGGGGTCCCATTCCAGGCAGATGGGTGTGTAGGAGGTTTCTTACATGAAGGGTGTGTGTGGTTCAGATGAGTCTTTACGGTGTCACTATCCAGTGACTGACACCATGGTTGCAACCTAAGTATTTAAGTTGTTCTTGGATAATCCGCAGGACACTAAG